ATGAGGGCTGAGCTATTTGTCATCATTCTTTGTCTATGGACTTTGGGGTGATTTTCCATCTTTTACCATTCCTAGCATATACCCTTGTATACACATTTGCTTATAATTTTAAGGTAAATTGCCAGAAACAGAATGTCAAAATGGAAAAACATTTGTTTCTAATTTTGAGTATTATCTTTCCTTAAATATTATATTAACTACAATGCCAACAACACTGTGTGACATAATTCTCATTTCTTCATATTTGTACCAGCATAGCATATTATCAAGTACTGATTTTTGCAATCTAAACTAAAAATATCATTGAAATATGAATTGGCATTTTGGTATTATTGTTATTACTATTATTATTATTATTTTGTAATGAGTGAGGTTGAACATCTTTATATATATATAAATCTTATATATTTTTTGTTTATTCAATTTCTTTCCCTATACCTTTAACTTTTCAATGATTTATAGGTTCTTTACATTTATTAAAAAAATTACATTTTCAAGTTAATTGGTTAAGGGTAATGTCATTAAACATGTATATTTTATGGAAGGTCAAGTTGTGTGTTTTTAAAAAAATTTTATATCAACAGAATTTTTCATATAATTGATCTTCAGATTTCTGCAATTTGTCATACTTAAAAGGACCGCAAACATTTTTAAATTACAAAATTATTTTTCAAGGTCTATAAATTTAGATTTGAAAATATATAAATACCACATGTGTATTTTTAAATGTTTAGGATTTCATCTGAGTCTAGTTTGAGGTTGTGGTTGTTTAGTTTAAAATAAGAATTTTCATTAAAATATATTTTGTTTTTTATAAAATATCTTTCTTGCATATATTCTAAAAATGTCTTTAAGAGTTTGGGGGTATATAAAATGGAGGTATAAAACAGCACGATTGAAAAGAATTATTGGATTTACACCAATGTCAGAAGATGGAAGACAAGTCAACTGCCACTGTCTTCTCAAAGCCTTTGGAGAAGTCACATGGGTTAAATGATGTCAACCAGAAAGACATCCAATAGTAAGTGAAGGGTCTATATTCTTTCTGCTTCTTATCCTTATGACAGAAGATTCTATGAGCCTTTGTCTATATTGCCTTCTGGGCTTAAAGAAAAGCAGACACCTGCAAACATTGTACTGTGGACAAGGCCATGATAGGTATCTCATAGAAACTCATCTTGCCACTTGATTAATGACCTTAAAGTCATCTCAGATGAGAAATGACAACTACCACATTTTCTTACCAAATAGTACCACATCCAGATAATATTGGAAAAGAAATATAGGTTTGCATAACATAATTTGATGGAAGACAGCTCTCTATTCACAAGACATGCTCTGACAAGGGCTCTTTGGCACACTCAGAAACATGAACTCCATCTTTCTTCCAGGTAGCAATATGTAGGCCTCATGTGTGCACAGGTGCTCATCACAGAAAATAAGCCAATAACTTGGGTCCTGATCAATAGATAACATTGTCATAAAATATGTCTTAGATTTGCATGTCTTAGATTTGGATGTCTTATTGAGCTCTGTTCCTTTCCACAGAGGTGCTGAATTTGCTATTTAGTAAATGAAGTTGGGACATTTCATTTCCCATGTTTGTACAACTAGTTAGTGGTAGAGCAGTGATTAGAACATGGGATCACCCAATATACCCCTGTGCTCTTTTTTCTCTACGTGTCCCCTGAGGTGAATCTTGAAGGCTAGAGACTTCTCCCAACACACAACCCTTGTTCCTTGTCTTTCAGTTTGGCTATTGTCTCCCTTTCTATTATAGTGGACCCTCTAGTTATGACCCACCTGATGTACAAACAACTTGGTTATGACTGGAATTTTAGTTTTAACTTACAACCAAAGTTTTGAGTTATGACCCAAAGGCTGGCTGCTTGTGCTTCCAGATGGTCTCAGTTACAGATTTAACCCTTAAAGAGTTCTGGAAGGAACATTACAGCATCCTTTCCAGTGTGGGGTTAATTGAGAAATCCTGGGCCAGTGTCTCTCTAAGGACATTTAGATCTTTGTTGAAGAAAGTTTGGCCTAAAATTATACAAGAGAGAAACTTTGAAAGCAATTGACCACCTTGAGTTACAATCAGCTCTCAGGAATGAATTGAGTTCGCAAGTCAAAGGTCCACTGTGTATTGAACCTGTGTCCTTTTATGGTCATTGGAGTGACCTAGCAGCACAGCTGGAAGGGGCTTGAATCCCCTAGAGCAGAAGTTGCTTGAGAGGAACACTTAAAGGTGCTTTCTTGTTGGGAGGATTTTATAAGGCATCAAGACATTTATGAACACCCTGAAGAAAGTGGCTCAATATTCATAAATTAAGTGACATCATTTTATTTCCTTGGACATTATCCTTGTGTTTCCTTGGACATTAGTGAGAAAGGAGGAGTGGTGGGAGAAATAGTGAGACTGCACAGTGAAATTATGTGCTTTTTATTGTTGTTATCTTCAAGTTTCTAAAGACTTTTCTCTGCTTTGAAGTAGTTCTATATAGTGTGTTCTCTTTGTGTTTTCAATCAATTAAACAAGTTGACAAAGGAGAATGATGGATATTCAAAGACTTTCAGTTTTCCACAACTCAAAAATATCTACTTGGCATCTTGCATTCATGAGTCACACAGTGACAATTTCTCTTTTGAAGTTCAGTAAAGGCATATGTTATCCACAATGAACTGCACTAAGGTTAGGATCAAAAGAAGAGATATTTTTTAGAGTTCATGATAGTGATTGGATAAAAGAGGCTTGCTCTTTCTTTTTCAGTTATTCATCTCCACCTGCACTGGTCTATTATTTCTTCCTCAGGTGAATAAAATCGTCTCCTAGCGGGGTTTGCTGCCCTCCATTTGTCAATGTCTTCCTGCAAGTCCAAGCCACATACAACGTTCACAGTGACTACTATAAGATAGGGATTCTCAGATACTAGGGATCACTGGGGTCCCCCAAAGAATATCTAAGCACATATAGCTGTGCCCTCTCTCAGAGGTTTTATGTAGTAGGTCTGGATGGGACCTGAACATATTTATTTTAACAAATTTTCTGGGGTTGCTAATTGCACTGGCCTCTGAATCAAACATTTAGAATTGTTAGCCTAAAACATAAAACTATCTATGTCATTGTGCTGTGAAACATGCTTCAGAAGTCCTTTGTTCTCCATAATTTAAATCCCTTAACTCCCTCACGTGACCCTGCAACACTTTGTCCTTGACTAGTTCTTCTGTCTTATCTCACTGTCCCCTGCCTCAGTGGTGTGGTGATAAAGTTTAAAAAATGGCTGTTGAAGGTAGGTGCAGACATGTGCAAAGACACGTACATATGTGTGTAGAAGTCTAAGATTATTCTGGTATAATCAATTCATAGCAAACAATTTACAAATAGTACATTAGATGATAACCTTTATTATAAATTTCATCCAGCCAGTTGATTCTCATAGGATAATTTTGTTGATTTTTAAAAATAAAATCTTTCTTCTGTGATCACATACAATCTCTATCACATATTACATTCCTTTTTCTACAGGCCTTAAAAAATATAAAAATTAGTGTTAAACCACAGGTTATGGGAAAATAAGATTCAAGTCATACAAGTCTAGACAACCTAAGAGACAATTAACCAAACCCTAATTTGTATGTTTTTCAGAATCTTTGGGATAAAAATTTCTACTCTGGAAGATTTCAAACTATCTAAGCAGAGGTACTGAATGTAGGATTGGGGAGACATTTGCTATTTCAGCTCAATATAGGGTATTTCCACTGCATAGGTAGAAAAGTTATAAAAAATAATGTAAGAGAAGATATAGATAGATTATACACAGTTATCACATAGTGAAATATTCAGAAATGGATGAAATTAGTGTGTCTAAAAGTATTTTATTTCATTGCAAGTTTATGTCACTTAACTTTGAATGATGGTTATATGTAAGAGGTGCTCACAAAGTCCATGAACATCTAGCACCCAGCCCTCAGGACCTGAGCTGACTCCAACACACCACTGCCAGCCCATTTTACTGAACCCAACACATGGAGAATCATTTGGCTTTCCCTTCACTGTGCCCTCAGACACCTTTCCCACCATTGGCATCACGACCATAGTATCCTTCTTTCAAGGCTTACCAGTGCCTGCTGACAGAAGACTCTGCCATTCCCTAGGCTGACCCCAGTGGCCTCCCCTATCTCCCTCAGTGCTCAGGGCTGCTCTCCACTGTCCCATTCTTCAGGGACTTATTTTGGCATTAGTCTATCTCAAGGACTTGCCCTTCCTCAGCTCTGAGGCCATCACAAAGCCTGGTATACATAAGAGGAAAATAGAAACTGTACTACCTGCAAAGCTGGGTAAATCTTGGCTGGAAATTAGCACAGCTCTGTGCAACCTTCTTTGTATTGTAGAGCTGGTGCATTGCTCTTGGCCTCTTCTACAAAACAGTGAGGAAGAAACAGCTCTCCATTTGTATTAGTAAAAGCCTACATCAGAATGAAGGTAAAGGACTCTGCTGGTATTGTAGAATTTAGATGCCTGCAGATTTTGTTTATATTATGGGTATCTTTCATTACCACAGCTAACTGAAGTTGTTTTTAAAGAGAAAATGACTATATATAACCAACAGACTCAATGCTGACACAGGCAGGCTGCAAGCACATGTACATACACACAAACACACACACACATACACACACACCCAGACGCATGTGCACAGGTATAGGCACAGTAAACAGAATTGAAGGCCTGAGTGTCGAGCACATGATAAACTGGAACTTTCTGGATGACTCCAGCTACCAGCAGGCCATCTCTGCACCTCTCTTCTCAGGTGCTTCTGCTTGGACTCCTCCCTTTGTAGGGTGTCTGGCACGGACAGAGGGAGATAAGTCTATAAGTCTCAGGGCCAGAGGCATGATTCTCCATTCCTTGGGGCCTCACATCTCCTAGTGGCTGTGTTTTCTGAATTTTCTCAGAGCTCTTAAGCAAAGGACCTGGGGACATGCGGCTGCAGTGGACTCACCTCATAATCAATGTCCAGGGCATCTGCCTCGCCCTTGGTCCGGAAGTGCTGCGTGTGTTTGTCCACGGTGAAGTTCACCTGCTTGCCCACGCGCTCGATGAGCACCGAGTGCCAGTGCTGGTCGTCCAGAAGGCTGCCCAGGGTGGCTGAGGGTGGGCTGCTGCTGAGCCGCGCTTTGCTGTCATCTGAGAGGAAAGAGGAGGCGGATGGCATCTGTGCCCAAGGACAGCTTTGAGCACTAAAGCGTTCCTTAGAGCTAGGCCTGCTTCCTCTATCCTAAAGAGTAAGGAACCCTGATCTCTCCAGCCCACACTGTGCTGGACTTGTGAATCAGTAACAGGCTTTGTTCACAAAATTCCAGGACTGAATTTTAATTCAAATGATACGCATACTCTCACGGAGGAAATTGAATGTTTCCTGGACTTAAACAGTTACATAATGAAAGGAACTATATCCTAATGGCCTCATGAATCAGACTGAAAAGCAAAGTTTTTTACTTTTAGGAAAATGTGCATAGTCTTTGAATTTGAGTGTTTCTTGAATGGAGAAAACAGATCTTGAGATGTGAAGAGGAGGAAGAATAAACCTGGGATAAATCTGGGGAGACAATGGGCCTGCTGAGCTAGAGAATTTTGCAGGTGAAGGCAAAGGTGAGGAGACTCCATTCTCTTTAGCTTTGTCAGAAGCTTATTACATGGATGATACTGAAATGGGGAATTTGCAGCCTCTATTTTAACACTTCAAGGGAAATTATCACCTATTTTTTGCATGTAAAGAATCTGAGGCTCAGTGAGGTTAAGCACACATGCATAAGAGGTGCAGCTGGAATGTAAACCTAGTTCTGCTTCGACCATTTTTACTCTGATTAAAGCTACAGATTGTGATACAGTTCCTCTGTGTAGACAATTCAACCTACGTGGAGTTTGGGACATTCCCTCTAGGAGGGACACTCAGGTGGAAATTAATTCTCAATTCAGACCTCTCCTCCTCCTCCACGTTTATGACAGTCCCTACCTGTAGTTTCCATGGAAAAAATAACAGCTTCCTCCTTCTGCAGAATTTGCCTCACCCATAGCAAAATGAACAACTCAATACAAATTATCATTGCTGATAAATGAATGTTCAGCTGTGGTATATCTTATGCATTCAGCTAAAAGTCTCTCTCCTCTAGCCTGCCATGTGTTTTCACAGCACAGTGTAGCAGCCTGTTCAGCAGTGACATTCAGAGGGTAGGAGCTGCCTGCTGACTCCCACCTACATTATGGCCCTGAGATGCTTTTCTCCCACCGAAGAACTCTGAGCTGCTTCATACAGGGGTGCAAGTGGGGAAGTCACATTCTTCGTGATTGGAAGTAGAGAGCTGGTGCTTTAACACCTGACCCTATTTGGTCACTTTATTAGTTGTTTCACAACTAATCAACTAGTACGTATTTTCCTTTTCTTTCTCTCCCTCTCTCCTCCTTCTATGAACATATGTTGTAATCTACCTGTGCTGGTCACAGTGATAGGATATATAAAGGAGATATAGAATTAAAAGGTGTGCAGCTCCCTCTGAGGGTCTTAGCATGGAACTCGAAACAAATAAATCTGTCCCAAGTGTCTGGTGGTACCCAGCAGTCTGCATGGGGAGCTGTGGACATGTGACATGGGTGAGCTCAGACTGCGAGAGAAGCTGGAAGCATCCTAACACTACAGTTGGCTGGAGCAGGCTCGCATCATCCAGGGCTTTTTGAGCAAGGTTACTGAGTTTGCATTTTCTCTTTAAGGAACAGGAGCCATGGATGTGCTGGTAAACCTGAGTTCAGATTAACACTGGAGAAAGGTTATTTGGGCAGCAAAATGAGAATTTGCTTCTCAAAGCCCCACTGTTTTCTTAAAGTTTGTACCTATTCATTATCCTGCCAGGGACTCCTCAGAGTCTTTTTAAAACAGTCTTCCATCCAAAATAGGGTCTAGATCTAAAATTTTGCCTGATAGGTTAAAAGAAATTGTTTTTGAGCAATTTCAAAATGTATTGCTCTTGATACATATAAAGTTGATAATCTTTACATTGTTTTCCTTGTCTATGAACTGAGTCTTAGCTTTTGCCCATTTATTTTTTGATCAATTCATATTTAGCCAATTGTCTATAATATGAATTTCACAATATCTTTTTTGTTCATTTGATTTTTGATTATGCCCTTTTTGTCTGTTTATTTACCACCTACATATTTTTGTGTTGAAAAAGCCATCATTTCCTTTTTTATGGCATCTGAATTTGTGATATAATTTAAAAGGTAATCCCCTTTGTGAGATCAGAAGAATTTACCCAAGGTTTCTTTAATTTCATTTCACTTGGTATGGCTTCTAGTGTATGGCATAAAGCACTGTTCTATTTTCTGTTTTTAGATGATTATCAAAATCATCTCAGATCCACTCCTTTTAAATCCCTGAGTGGTTATTTTAAGGTAACAAGGTACCACAGGGAGAAACTACTAAGCTGGTTGAGTGAGTTTGTTACGTTGAAGAGTTCAGTCTACTCTTAGCAGATTTTTAGATCCTGATCCTTCAGTAGTAAATTTTCAGGCTGGTTGTTGCCACCACATTCTCAGTGTATCCACAGCCATAGTCTTGATCACCACATGAACCAGCTAATGTGATGTGGGAAGCCAAGCACACTGGGAGCCTCATACTCACTCTCGAGTCTAAAGTCAGCCCTTCCACTCCTCTGTCCTAACTCTGCCTCAGAAAGTTGGTGACTATCTTTCCATCCAACAGTTCTTTCTGCTCCTCATGATTTTTAAGGTTTTAGGGGGGAAATGCACATCTTTTTAGATAAATGGTGCCTACTTCTTGCTCATTGAATTTAATGAAACTATAAATATTAGTTAACATACATCATTTTATGCACTGTGGCTCATGAAATTTTTATGACTGCATAAAGCAATTTGTTGACCTTGCCTCAAAACTGGATTAATTTTGCTCTTTGTTTTTTTTGTTCATTTACTTAACCAATGTTTTCATTGCTAAAAGATAATGCAAAATTCAATTCCATCAATCTTTTAGAAAAGTATATGTCTAGAAATATTGAAGAAATTTTTAAAAATTATAATAGTTTACCTAGTCATCATTTTCTGGAAATCTATCCTAATAAAACAAGTTGAAATGTGGTGAAAAATTTAAATGGCTGGTGATTTAAAAATTGGAAATGATGTCCAGTGATTTGGAAAAAGGAAAAAAGTGCATTGAATACACTTAGAACCATCAGATAGAATATTATGTAGCTATCAAAATGTCATTTAAGTCCTTATATCATTTAAAAATGTACTCATTAATGATTGTTCTTTCTTATAGAATAAAAAGTGAAAATAAATAAAATGCTTCATAATTTATAATCTGATTTAAAATATATGGAAGCAGAATAGGAAAATATAGACAATATAGATATGAAAAAGGTGTAGATAAACACTATGAGCAGATAAAATTTAAGAATGCATTTAGCCAAATATTAATTTTTCCCTAAATTGTAGAATGAATATGACTAATTTTAATAATGGGAAAAGATAAATTTCATTAAAAACATAACCCTCAACCTCCATAGCTGATTCATTGAAAAACATGTATCAGTGATACTTAAATTGTTGAATATCTCCTGAATTCCAAGTTATTTTTCTCAGTGCTGGTAATCAAACCCAGGCTTTGCACATGCTAGGAAACATTCTACCACTGTGCTATACCCTCAGCTTCCAATTTACTTTTTTGGGGTCCCCCCCACCAGGGATCTAACTCAGGACCTTGCGTTTGCATGGCAGGCACCAGAACTACTGAGCTAAATCCCCACCCACAACAATTTACTTTTTAATTAATCAAAAAGTAGAAGACATGAAAGAAACTTGTTCCCCCACACCCATTCTTGGTAATGCTTAGAAATCTTGCATTACTAGAAGTTAGTTCATTTAAATTATTAAGCAAACAAAATATCTGCTATTCACAAAGCAGGATCTTCACAATTTTTTATGAAGAAAAATGAATAACAATACTCATGAATGTTTTATTTTACCTAGAAATATTCATCATTAGAAATTATTAGAAAGACTTAATTCTCAGGACATTATCAAACTTTTAGAATATCTATTTCAGGTTTTATCTCATGGCTCTTCAGGTTCAATTACTTAGTTTTAACTAGTTTCCAATTTATTAAGCCAAGACTAAAAAAAAAGTCTTAATGGGTAATTGTGAAGGACAAAAATAATAAAAGAATAGACCAGGTAATTTTTGGTCCAGAAACATAAGGAAAAACTTCTAATTAAATAAAAATTTGTTTTCACTTGGTTTAAAATATAGTTAAAACAAAGTGACATAAGTACATCTAAGACCTTATAACACTTTATATAAACATGTGAGATGACTACATTTTCAGCTTCATGTTATTTGTCTCCTTCTCCTCAGCCTGTTTGTGGATAAACATGGTAGTCTCTGCCCTCTTGCTTAAAACTAACATTTTCGGGAAAAGGCCTCATATTGCGCTATTTTCACCCAGATGCCTTGTTCAGTTACATCTTAATCTGATCTTAACAATTCAAACTTTCCTGTCATGTGAATTTAAGACAGCCTGCACAAAGCGGGTGAGCACTCTTTATCTAAGGGAGTATTTTGGTAAAAATGTCATTCCTGGGACGGGATTGATTTCCTGTTGATAAAACAGGTTGCTGGCTATGCAGTTCTCTAGGCCTTGTTTCATATGACTTTCAGAATTGACCCTCCCAGCTTTAATGTGTCAGATTATCAATACTGGTATACATATGTATGTATCAAGCTTCTCACATGAGGAAAACATTTTTATATATGTTGTTTAAATTATTCCTGAACATAGCTCTGCGAAAATGTCAGTCTGAGAGAAGCCACAAGATTTACCCAAAGACACAAAGAATTAGTGTCATCATTTAATTCTATCTGACTGCAAAAGTAATATTCTCTCCACTGCTTCCTCTAGGAAAAAATTGTGTTCTCATTCTTCCTCATCCCTCACGTTGTGATAATTGCTCCTCACCATACAAACATGTAAGCTGCATTGCTTAGTCAGAATGGAGAGTGCCAGAAAAGAATGAGATGAATTGGAAGGCAAAGAGTTGTGGCAAAGGACTGTGGGACAAATACAGTCGGGATAACAGGATACAGAATGAGAATGCAAATTTCATCTCTGTAGGTTAACCAGTCCAGAAAGACAGCACTATGCCCTTGTATGATTATACACAAGATGCAGTGCATGAATGGTCTCTTGATTACCCACATGAGACCTTTGAACAAAATAACCAGGAAGCAAGGTGATTCCAGGGGTCTGATTCTCAAACCAGGACTCATCTCTATGTATTACTAAAGCCGTGAAATATAAGTCCTTTGCTGTTAGGAGATTTCTTAATATTAATGAATAAAAATAGTTTTCAGATTTGGGAGTTGTTCAATTCTGACCTTTAATTTGTATCCATATTTTGTGATATTACTTCTTTACAAAAATGTTGTCTTAATGTGTTTATGTTATATGTTTCTGATAATGGATAGTTACTGTATTTTTATTTAATATCCAAAGCTAAATGACAAGTAGAAGTAAATATTTTACTAGACTGGTATTTCCTTAAAAATAAAGACTGGAAGGTGTGTGTAGAGGCTTACATCTGTAATCCCAGCTGCTAGAGAGTCCTAGGAATGAGGACTGTGGGTATAAGGCCAGCCTGGACACCTGAGTGAGACCCTGTCTCAAATGAAGACAGGAGAAGGGCTGGAGATGTAGCACAGTGGTAAAGCACTTGCCTGGCATATGTAAAGCCATGACTTCCACTCCCAGAACTCCCCCCAAAAGAAGAAGCCTGACATATTCAACATTTAAATGATTAGCACAAGCTCAGTGCCCAACACAATGCAAATGTTCAACCTACAGTTATTACCTGAATGACAGAATTTATACAAAAGAGTGCACCTTGCCCAACCAACACTTAGTTTGAAATGCTTATATTTCTCACCTCTGTATAAACAAATCTCCATACAACTCAAATTTAACTCCAGATTCCAAGGTGCACCCTGATCTCTCCATTTTTACAATTCAATACACAAATGTCAATTGGCTGATATTTAATATGCAATTGTTTGAAGAAGCCTTATAACATGTTAGTGATTACTGTCAGGGAACTGGGGAATGACTGACAAGAGTGCTTATCCCAGTTGTACAGCTATGTAGTGATATGATCTTAAGCTATGCAGTGATATGATATGGACATCAATGAATGGGTTTAGAGGTAATATGGACTATTTCATGATTCATATTATATATATTAAATTTTATACAAAATTTTTATGTTTAAAAAGTTTAAAACAGTGACTGAATGTGAGCTTTCAAAACTGGAAACTTGAAGAAAAAATATCCCCATAAACACTCCATAAATATATGGGAGTTGGCTTCTTATAATGCTTGAATTTCAAAGGAGCTAAAGTAAATGTCTGTTGTACTCTTTGGAGCATGTAAAAAACTATCACAGATGTCTTTATGAGTTGATCACGCAGTCAGGGACTTTGATCTCTGAACCCTGGACTTGGGTCTGAAGGACATCCTGCTCTGAACAGGTTTATTCAGTCCAGAATCTGGCTTTACTTCAGTTCTGTGTACTGGGGACTGACTGCCTAAACATTGTCCCTCAGTTCAAAGGCACAGAACTCGTGTAAGGAAAAGTGACCTGCATGCTCTATTGATGTCTTATGTAGTTCCTACGCTAGTCGCCCGTCACGTAATTCTTTTGCTCTTTGATTCTCCACCTGCTCTTGTGGGCTCTGGATGTTGTAATTCTATAGAAGGCAGATTGCCACAGGCAATCTGAACAAGATGTGTAAGAAGTAGAAAGGGGAATCTTTCTAACTCCCTTATAGATTAAAAGAAGAAATCTCTTTCCCACCTCCTAGCTGAGGAAAACAATCAATATTCTACCTTAAAGTAGGCTAAGGAGAAGTACCTTGTTAAATTTCACCATAGAACTGACTCTGCCCATATCAGATGTATACTTAGATAATGTGCATTATTGGGTCATTTAAGAGTGTCACTTGAAAAGAACACCAACGTACTGTTTGGTAAGTGGTTTATATTTAATATAATTCATTGTCAATTTTATGAGTTAATCTTATATGTCTGTGGGCTCTTACTGTTACCTTGCCCATATTCACAATGGAAGCCAAAACGATCCTTAGGAATGCCTCAGAATAAAGGCCTACAAGGTTTGGTTTTCGACCTTGCACAAATCTTTATTCTAACGTCTCTTCTGCTAATTGCTAAAATATATTTGTTCCTTTTTTTCCAGTCTCCCATGAAATGTGAGATTACAGACTGAAATTTGCTATGTCTTTCCATCTTTGTTATTTGATAATAAATACTAACAGTTAATTCCTCCTGTAGGAGGCAAGGATAGAATCCACCCTAGAGTGGGAAGCTGAAGTCCTAACTTCAAGAGACAGGAGGGGCATTCTGTACTAAAGTAGTTGGCATTCAACAAATCTTTGGATTGTCCTGACATAGCCAAACAACTGAAAGTCAACAAGATTTCCCTTAACAAGACATGATAATGTCCAAAATCATATAATTTTTTCCCTATAAACATATGACTTCTCCAAAAAAAAAAAACTTGAAACAATGAAAATGTTTGTTCATCATTTATCCCTTGAGTGAAGCTTAACTTTCATAAATGCACCTAACAGTATAAGTTGTGAGCAAGCTCATTTTAATATGTGTGTGAACTTGCTGATTACTGAAAGACATAAATATGGAGCTAGACAAATACTTAATAACTAGCTGGAAACTTCTCCGTATTAGCAGCATTATAAGCATTGCAAAATATGGTACTTTTCTTTCCCCACACAGATAAAGGAAATATACCACACTGTACTACAGTGATTTGTATTTGACACAACAGAGGCACCAGTGTATACGACTGTGACCTCCTGAAGAATGCAGTACTCTATTGCTTGACCCAGGAAAAGAATGGGCAGAGCCTGACCCTACCCAAATTTAGGTACAAGGTAAGCCTCCCCTTCTGGAGCTCCAAGGTGATGTGGTCTCCACGTTGACCTTCTCCATGGAACAAGACCCCATCGGCTTGCATGCTCTTGAACTTTAGGGAGATCACATCTTTGAGAGTGCTCATCAGCTTCTGATTGAACCTATACAAAAGCGAGCTTCGGCCATCAAAGTCAGCAACGTCAGATTCTGGGTACAAAGAGGGAGGAAAGAAAGAAAAGTCAGTGTAAATCCTCATAATTTGTTTTTCTCTTTCCCATCTTAGTTGTTTCCTGATTCACAAGAATGTGCTTGTGATCAGGAAGGTCCCATCTCAACAGGAAGCATATAGGCTAGACCTAACCTAATTAGACTCAGAGGAATTACTCATTTACAAGCAACCACCCCACACTGAGTCAAAGTGAACTGATCATCAGACTAGAAGCAAAAAACTCTCATTAGTGACATGTCAGACTTTCCTTGAGGGGACAGGGTGAGAATGCCACAAGTACCTATGTCAGGTTCTTCATGTCAGGTGCCTGGTTTGTAATAACTTTTCACGATTTATCCTGCTTATTAATTTGCTTCTGACAGTTGAAACCATTTGATCTCCTCATCAAGGCAGGCGAGGGAAAAGAGATACAGTTTATTATGCCCACTCGGTTTGAATAGTTCTGTCTTTCCAGAATCCGGCACTGAGAAGGATTCTGAGGCTCCTTCTGGGTTCAGAATAAAAGAATACCCAGTAAAGGAAAGCTTGATATTTCATCAGGGAGAGCAGATACATTGTATATTTGCCATCTCTGCCTTGTCCTGTGCTGGTTATAAATCTTTCAGTGTTTTCATACAAAATTATTTGTTCATTGTTATTTTTTGCCTCTCTTCTAACTAGAGATACCTTTAGTTGATAAGCAAAATTTGTACATATTTATGGGGGCACCATGTGATATTTTGATACTTGAATACATTGTGTAATGTTTAAATCCGAGTAACCACATCAATCTCTGAAAATAATAATCAATTTGCTGATATAACAACATTCAAAATACTTTATTTTAGCTTCTTTTTCTTAAAAACTATATTACCATTTGCTATAGTCATTCTACTGTGCAATAGGACTAAAGAAACTTATTTGTACTAACTATAGCTTAGTATCCATGGACCAATGTTTCCCATTCTTCTCTCCTCTCTAATTATCCCAGCCTCTGGTAACCACTAGTCTACTCTCAATTTCAATGTGATCAACTTTTTTACACTGCACACATGTGTCAGATCATGCAGTGCTTATCTCCCTGTACCTAACTTATTTTACTTAACATAATGTCTCCCAGTTCCATTATTATTAAAGCCAAAAAGAAAAGGTCAAGTTACCATGATTTAGGCAAAAGTATGCCAAGAAAGCTAATAGGGACTTTATTTGGGAGCTGTTATTGTACATTATTTTTACATCCTTTTCCCAATGATTTATTATGAAAACTTTTAGAGTAAGCTTTTATTACTTTTATACTATAATAGGAAAAATGCAAAGATATTTATAACTTGAAACAGATTCCTTATATACAATCTCACATGGGTGAAGCAGAAGGGAATGGGGGCATGGATGGGTGGAAAATTTCCTTCCTTGAAATCCAATACTCAGGAAAACTTAATTTTTAAAATATTTGCAAGTAAAGAAATTTCTCAGCTTGAGCATATGAAATGATAAAGTACCTTTTCTGATCAAAAGTCTAGAAATAGTCTTTGTAAAGTTAAATTTTTGAAATAGAAAAATAAAACAACTTTTCTGTGATTAGTTTTGGAACAGATTTTCATAATTTATTCCTATGGAATAAAGTGATTCCAACCAAAAGTCACAGATGACTCCAAATTGTGAAAAATAAAACTGTCCAAATGCAAAGAGACTTTCAGAAACTCCTACTCTTGTCAGAACCACCCCAGCCCAGCCATCCCATCAGTGATCTCCACCTGTGCTCTGAATTAAGACTTCTACCCAACCCAAGCAGGGGCTCCAGGCAGCAGCTGCCCTCAGTTCTGGAACAATGAGCATCCCATGGGTATTAAACTCTGATAGCCATAGCTTCTTACCTCAGTCACCTTGGGTAATTTTACCTCTCTAAGACTTGATTCTTTATCTACAAATTGGAGATAATTATGTTGATTGGAAAAGGATGGCAGAAGAAAGGAACATGGCAGAGTAAAATTCAGCACCATATCACAGCTTCTCCAGGAGCGGCAATCTCGACACTTGGAAAACAAGAACTTAGTGAAAGAAAAAGGAAGAGCTCCAAGGTTCAAGAAAAACCCAACAGGAAAAGTTAGAAACCACAGAGAATCTGGAGAAACTGAAGACAACAAGAAAGGAACACTAACCTTGGCTCCCAGGGAGGGAGATCTGTGTTGGCAAATACAAGGTAAGCCCAGAGAGGGCGGCCACTCCTGGGAGAATCAACAAACCAGGCCATCACTGTTAGCCCCCCCAAAAGCCAACAGTCATTATAAATTCCAGATACAGTGAAACATTTTACTCTAAAAATGATTCTTCCACATGGCAAGCTAATGTTGCAGAAGAAATCCACTGTAGCACCGCCATATTTAAAGGTGATTAGTCAGGAGCCATTTTGGGAAAGGGTCAATTATTTAAAGGAACCAGAAGTCATAGAATAACTGCACACCAAGGTTAATGGGGCCACCCTACCATAGTGTTGGGAGTTGGCCCCCTTTATATTAGCATCACTATTAGGCTTCATTGATTTTCACATGTTTACTTTATTCTATGCTACTATTGCTGAATTCTTTTCTATTGTTAATGGTGGCATAGTTGTTGCATTTATTGACAAATGTCAATACTTCATTTGTCTTTGTGGCTATAATTATGGATAACCTTTTGATTGTTAAAGGTTATATAGTGGCAGGTTTTTTGCTTCTTATTGCATATCAATATCTGATTTGTCTTTCATAGAAGCTGATTTCTTTGCTATTGTCAGTTGTGGCACTGCTATTGCTGCTGCTATTAGTTGACTTTGCTCTATGCCAGTCTCTGGTTTGCATTTGTGTTATCAACATTATTACAATTCATTTTTTCCTCCATGTGTAGTGCTAGAGATCAATTCCCCAGAAGAAAGACACTAAGAAGACCCTCAAATATTACAGTGATTAGGTTGAACAGGGGTGCAAACACCAAAACATGACCAAACACAGGAATATATCACAGGGCTGGGCATGGTGGCACATGACTGTAATTCCAGCACTCAAGAGGCTGAGGCAGAAGGATTCTTGTGAGTTTGAGGCCAGCCTGGGCTACATAGTGAGTTCAAGGCCAGCCTCCATTACAGAGCAAGACCCAGTCTCAAAAAATAACAATAGCAACAACTACAAAAAGGTATCACAGAGAAACAGATTCTAACTGAAGAGATCTCCACAACAGTGAAAGTGTTTATATCCTAAATAATCTTCAACTTGCACAAAACAATGTAAATTTGAAAAAGCACGGCAACAAGATACTTCACCAAAGCTCCCCAAAAGTTGATCTCATAGATACTGAAGTGGAGGAAATTACAAGTAAAGAACTAAAAAGCAAAATGGTCAATATGTTTTAAGAACTCAAAGAAGAAACATATAAGCCAATTCATAAGATGTTTAGTGAGCTTAAGAGGACTTATTAAAGAAGATTTAATTAAACAAAAAAAAGAATTTTATTAATAAAATGTTCAAAAACTTAAAAAGAAAACTGAGTTAAAATATAAAATAGAAGATTTGAATGACCAGTTTGTAAAGAATTAGCAGTTATGAAAAGAAAGCATGCAGAAATAAAAGATAAGAAAAACTCAATAGGAAGAATGGGTAGCAGGTTTGTCCAGTATAAAGACAGAGTATCAGAAATTGAAGATAAAGTTGATATAGCAGATCACAAATTCAGTAATATCATAAACATGGCAACACAACATATAAGGTAGATCCAAGAGCTGCTAGATGACTCAAAAATATCAGAATTGTAGGAATAAAGGAAAAATTAGATGACTCAAAAGGTATAAAAATTTATTCACTAAAATCATACCATTAGCTTTCAAAATCAAGTGAAAGAATTCAATATCTAAAATCTATTATTTTTTTAAGATCTATTATTTATATGTGCCAACTCCCCATGATAATTGCAATCACTATGTACTGTGAACATGTACTAATTAAAAAAAAAGAATTCAATATCCAAATGCAAGAGACATATAAAACCCTAAAAAACCACAACCAGAAAAGGACTTCTCCATATCACTTCATAATCAGAATTCCCGAAATTTAACTTAAAGAGAAAATACTAAGTGCTCTTATAGAAAAGAAGCAAGTTACTTACAAAGGCAAGCCTTTCAGAATTATAGCAAAATTCTCAGCACTGACGTTAATTGCCAGGAAGACTTGGAGTGAAGCTTTTCAAGCCCTAATAGAAAATAAGTGTTAACCTGAACTTCTATATCCTACAAAATTAGCCTTCAAAATTGACAGAGAAGTAAAGGCTTTCTGTGGCAATGAAATCCTAAAGAGAGACATAACCACTAAGCAAGCATTGCAGGAAATACTTGATGGAATACTAGACAGAGACAAGGGAGGCCACCGCTATCAAAGAGATAAAGGGAAAGTATACATCTAACTGGGAGAGAAACTAAATAAAATGAAAACAACAACAACAAAACAATAGGAATCAGCATTGGAGAAATAGTGCAGTGATAGGACTCAGTAAACACCTTACAAAAATAACTCTCAATATCAGTGGTCTCATCTCCCCAATAAAAGACACAGACAAGCAGATTGGATCACAGAACAAAATGCAACCATATATTTATTGCCTACAAGAGACACAGCTTATCCAAAAGGAAGCTCATAGACTAAAAGACAAAGGATGGAAAACAATGCTCCATGCAACCAGTGCTTGAAAGCAAGCTGGAGCAGAGCTCTTATTTTCATAAAAAGAAGACATCAAACTAAAACTAGTCAGAAAAGAAAAAGACAGCAATGCATACTAGTAAAGGGAACAATTCAACACGAGGAGATAAGAATTATAAATATCTATGCAACAAATGTTGAGGCACCAAAAAATAAAACAAAAACTACTAGAACCAAAAGGACAAATAGAAACAAATAGAAGCAAATACAACTATAGTGGGGAACTTCAACACCCTGCTCTCACAATTAGGTCAACCAGACAAATAATTAGCAAAGAA